GAATCTCGCTCGTAGCAGAGCATGGTCCGTGCCCACGGGTGTTGACCAGTAGGAGCGGCATTCCTCAATGGATCCACGCCAGTGGTGGCTGATGGCGATGTGGTCGATTTGAGTCCAGCGCTGTGAAGAATTTGACGGTCTCCGCGTAAGACGGTACCGCTTTTTGTGCGAGAAGTTCGTGCTTGACAGGAACAATCCGCGGTCAGCGCAGATTTGAAGTAGGCGTTCTCCGTTGTCAGTCCTGTTGGCTGGGATTGCATGTGAACCGCCAAGTAGCCTCTCTGATTCGTCCAGAGATTTCATTTGAGCATTGAAGTCTCCAGCGACTACCGAGCACTTTGGAGCAGTTGATAGAGGTCCTTGTAGAATTCATCCTTCATTTTGATGAACTGCAATCTGTCGTTACTTACGCAGATACGACGAATAAGCATCGACTCTTCATTCTGTAGCTGTTAACCCGTACTGAACCATCCAGACGTATGGCGCAAAGTCGGCAGTTAACCAGGATCCAATCGAGAAGTGAACGCTCGACCTTGACACTTAATGCAATCCCAACACCAGCAACCCCGCGAGCGTCGGATGCCGAATCGCCTGACACACGGAGAGTGAAGCGTGAGGATGACGCTGGATGTGGAGAACGGAGGGAGGTGACTGAAGTAGGGTTTCGGAGACACAGCACACATCTAAACGGAAGGTTTCAAGGGTTCTAACTAAAGCGGCTTGCTGACCGATCTGGTAGAGTGTGCGGACATTGAATGCGGCTAAGTGAAGAGGGGATTTGGTTTCCAAACATATAGTAGCCTCTGAGCGATTAACCCTATTAGTCGAATGCTGAGTGATATCCGATGGGTATCGTAAACAGGAGGCATCTGGGAATATTCGGTATTGAGAAGAATGACTGGACATATGGGAAAGATGGTTGTCCAAATGGATACCAAAGACTTTTGGGCCCTGTATACTTCGCGGTGGCCCACACCGATGAAGGGTTTTTTCTTTGGGAACCCTAACCGGAGCCCTTGACTCAAACGTCTGACTCGTGAGGCAGCGGGTATTTATGGGCTTTTCTTTGGGAACCCTAACCAGAGCATTCGACTCAAAAATTTGACCCACAAGGCGGTGGGGCGTAAATCAAACGCGGGAGCATGAACGGAGCACCCGTGGGAGAGCTTGTAGAGACCTGTCACGCAAGGCCTTTGAATTTCGGTTAAGTTTGTTGTCCGCTGGTGCTGGTGCTTATCGGTCCGCTTTCCAGATAGGCCCTTAGCTTCATGCACCCAATGAGATAAGCGGAACGTGGACTGGACAACACCATATTGGCTGGGGCTGCCTAGCTTGGATGGGAGTTAGCTGTCCAATGAAATGCGAAGACTTCTCCCACCATCGAGACGAAGCCCCAGGTACCTCGCTCCTACGTCCATCTAGCGGGGAATTTTGCCCGGTAAACTTCCACTAACCGTTTTTAGTTGTTGGAGTGCCCTCTCCAGGAGTGGGTGTGGATAGTCAAGGGAAGCCAGGAGGTGCCCAGGCAGCTGGCTTGGTGAGACTGAGCTTTGTCTGGCCTCCACCTGTTGACCTCTCAGGCATGATTGGATCTACGGCTGTGAAAAGCCATCCTGTATAGCTCGCAGGGTCATCGAGTCACGCAAGCCATCACACCACGTCAAGGTTCAGTCTCGTCGTGATGGAATAAAGGACATCACATTTCACGGAAACATAGGCGGAAGTTTATTGATGACCAATGAGAGAACAGCCTCCTTGACCAGAAGGATACAACTACGGGCAACTTTACAACCCGTGCCCCTCCGATTTGCGGTTCAACCGATGTAGTGAGCAACTGGAGTTGCTCAAACCGTGGACAACCAAAAGATGTTCCGGTGTGTTTGCCACAAACAGTGTGATTCCGTAATTATTAACGATGGGGTATTGATTGAAAATGTGAAACTTTCAATTATGCTCCAGAGAGCGTGTAATTGTAGCGCAACCAACCGAAGGACGAATGATCAGTACCCGTTGCATCTTTAGAGTTTAACTCCAGATGAACAGGGTCGGTACTGAGATCTGGATGGAGTGTTGGCACGAGGAAGCGCCACCTTGTTCCCAATATCAGTGGTGAATTAAGAAATGAAGTCCAGTGCAATACTCTCGACAGTGGTAAGCGATTACATAACATAACCAGCGCGCAGATTGGGGGTTGTTTGTGGATAACGGCGCTCCTTCTCTCTCTGGAGAATGTGATAAATGTTTCATCGCTAAGTAAAAAGTCAACAAACCGGCGGAATTTTTTGTATCATGCTTAGGTCGCTTTCAGCTATTAGGGAAGAAAGAAAATGATCACACTTGTCTCCGTCCAATTGGTGGCGAAATTTAACAGTCCTTATCGTTGACGGAATCTCCTTTATGAGGTCGAGGGCTGATAGAGCCTCAGAGGTGAACCGGAATAGTCTTGGAACCGTTTTCTGTGCAGTCTATTAGAGTGAAAACTCAGAAAAGTGCATGAGAAGTATGTCGATTTGATTTACTGGTGTTATTTATCGACCAAATTCTCAGCTAGAAGCTGATGATTTTAAAAATGCTCATACAATTCAAATACATGCAGAGGTCTGTGGCAAAGTCATATGTCGTTTTATAGCTCACTTCGTTGTATTGAATATACCAAGATACACTTTCCGAAATTGAGGGAGCGAACAAACAATGCAATGCAAAGCACAGAGAATGGTGAAGTCAGGAGGTGTTGGTGGGATTTCAGTACAACGGCAATAGTTTAGTGACCAACACCGCTTTCAGGATGATACCTGCATACGATAATGAGTAGATACTTATGGAACATTCTGGTGATGAACAAAACGTATCCAAAGATGTGACTGAAATTCTGAATAGAATGCGGACTTGATGCGCGAATACTGCAGCTAAGATATGTTCAGGTCTGGTGAAATTGTTTTGATATATTCAGTTTAATGGAAAAGATAGTGGAAGCCCTCTGGAAAAGGGAAATACAAGCACCTATTTCAGGCTGCGATTCAATGAACAAAAGCGTCTTCCGCTGGTGATGAACTTTTTAGTCGGGATATTTTCAATCGGTAGTCGCAAAGTCATAAAGGTAAACTGAAGAATAAGCTCTCAGTAGCCTCCCGTACGGTTAAATGTGATTTTAACAAAATGAGCGAAGTAATAATGTACGTCTTGCACCGGTTTCTCTTTTTTGCAAATGATTCGCATTTCCACCCAGAAACGAATGTGATGAGGTGTCCAGAAAGGTCTCCTCAAGATGGAGTTATTCTTATATCATATGACTACGGACTTACGAATCAATGTTTACTGTGTATTCTCTAGTCCTATTCCCAGGCTAATCAGATTTGCTTGGCTTAGTTTCCGAACATTTCTGATTCGTCATTGCTGATACTGGATTTGCCTTATTAAGTGAAGTGCCTGTCAATAATTTCATTGAGCTTACTGCATATTACCCCGGCTCCGAGTGGCTGTACAGTCGACATAATCATTGAAAATATCATGGATTTAAAATTACCTCTACTTTCTTTTCCTTGTTTTGTATCATGACAAGTTTTGATTCGTTGATGTCTTAATAAATAACACCATAGAATTCCTGATCAAAACATACACCACCCGGTATATTCTATTCTCTTTTCTTTCCAGGACTTTTGCGTGATATTCACCTGGCACAGTATCCGGATTCGTCCGTTATTCTGGGGCATTTGGCTCCAGTACACAGGTCCACCGCTGTCGGCTTCTACTTTTCTGCTGTCTGTCTTCTAATTGCATGCTTATTAGCGTGTCCTCTGCGCTGGCTTTCTAAGCGGGAGTTTGCAGCAACTGAGGCACGCAATTCCGTTAGCAATATACCACCCGATTTTACCGGTCCAGGATATCATGGTGCCTGTGACTTTACTGGACCGATACAAGCTGGAGATGGCGAGTGGTTGGCCGTTGATCCATCTCAAGGTTTAACCAATTATGCAGCATGTCTTTCGGATGCCATATCTCGCAACTCAGATCAACCAGACTATCACTTGGAGCAACAGTACCCGCAATTGCTTCCATCAGGTCAAAATCCACCTCAAAACGCATCTCCGACCGATGGCCTGGGTAGTCCTTCGGCAGTCGGTAATGTCACTGTTCCCGTTGCCATCGGGTCAGCTGCAGCAGGTACCACTATGGCAGGTTTGGTTATGGACCTTGGCCCACCATGCATGCTATCCACAATAAATGAAACAGCCACCACCGAAAACACGAATACGCTTATTTCTGTACCCGGTCC